CCTCTATCCTCTCTCCTGTCTCCTCTCTCCTCTCCTCTCTCCTGTCTCCTCTCTCCTGTCTCCTCTCTCCTCTCCTCTCTCCTGTCTCCTCTCTACTGTCTCCTCTCTTCTATCCACTCTCCTCTTCTCTTCTGTCTCCTCTCTTCTCTCCTCTCATCTCTCTTTTCTCCTCTCTCCTCTCTCCTTTCCGCTCTCCATTCCTCTCTCCAGAGGCGAATCCAAAAGTGACGACACAGGTCTGCGTTTCGCGACCACGACCCCCCCGATCCCTGTGACCGTTGACACTTTGAGACGCGAAGACCCGAGACGAGTCCAAAAGTGACGACAGGCTGACGACAGGTCTGCGTTTTGCGACCACGACCCCCCCCCGATCCCTGTGACTGTTGACACTTTTGAGACGCGAAGACCCGAGACGAGTCCAACAGTGACGACAGGCTGACGACAGGTCTGCGTTTTGCGACCACGACCCCTCCCCGATCCCTGTGACTGTTGAAATTTTTGAGACGCGAAGACCCGAGACGAGTCCAACAGTGACGACAGTTCTGCGTTTTGCGACCACGCCCCCCCCGATCCCTGTGACTGTTGACACTTTTGGAACGCTAAGCGAAAAAAGTGACGACGGTTCTGCGTTTCGCGACGATTTGCGACTCCCGACGATGCGCGACACTCTCCGACACTCGCGGACGCTTGCGAACGCTTGCGGACGCTTGCGGACGCTTGCGGACGCTTGCGAACGCTTGCGAACGCTTGCGAACGCTTGGCGAACATAAACGCAACAACCGCGCGTCGCCTCCTGGACCCCTGGACCCCAACCTTAAAACGGGAACCCTTCTGCTACGCATTCGGGAAAACCTCTCAACCTCATCTTGATCCTATGGCCAGGAGATCCAACGCGAGCTTGGTGAGTCTATCCTCTGAGTTTCTTGGTCGGATGATGTACGTTACGCATTGAAACTGTGGGAATTTTAGGTCAGGCTGCGGTTTGGGAGACATTTTTTCTAGGGCCTCAAAGACACCCCAAGACGGTCCGGCTTGAGGGTCGTGCTGTTGACGACTTCTTCGGGAAGTGCAACTGTGTTCCTTGCAAGTCGCAACAAATTGCCATGTTACTGGGCCAGACGGCTGGCCCCTGCATAATGAAGAGAGTAGGAGTAATTCCACTGTCCGCTCAGTATGTAGAACCAGCCTCAGTAAAGTCGGGCCCGACCCCTGCGAAAATTGTTGAGTCAGGCTTTGTCATGCTTCACGTCTTCTACCGCGGTGCTTAGGGTTTAGGAAGGCCCTTAAAGTTTCGGCCCATGAGGACATCAGGCAGACAGCCAGACATGTGAGTTGCACTGGCAACTTTCGGCCGGCAACAATGAACTAAGCGCCAGTATTGTCAGTGCATCATGGATCATGAGTAAACTTCAGCATGTCAATGTTGTCCTCGGCAACATGTTGTATATACAGCTTCCCGTACAGCAGAAGAGATAGGTGTGTTATAGATGGTTGGCATATGTGCGCATGTGCTTTCTTAGGCAGAGCAGAGCAGCATTGAACAACAGCACAGGCTGTTCATGGCCCACCTAATTATGTGGACAACCTGAAGGATTAGCATACGGATGCAAAAAGATTACCCGCGTTTTTCGACGATTTGCTTCATGCAAGACGCAGAAGCACGACATGAGTGAGACATCTTGACTGCACCGCAGATGCCAAGCAGAAAAAGACACGAGAATTCACAAACGATCGGCGATTGCAAGTACAAGTCAGGTTGCCTGCCACAGAGTTTGAGGGGTTCAGGATCAGGGATTAGAGCGGCCGCTAGAGTTCCCTCAGCAAAGCGTAGAAGCGTATGGTCTCAGCGTTTCAGCTTCATCTATGCGAACGCTAAAGATTGCAACGCGCGGGCAGTTGCTGAATTGGCCGAATACAGGCTGTCACGTGGCTGCCCATCGTACCGCGCATCCGTATACAAGCTTCCTCCGATTCAGGGACACCTTGCCGAGTAAACTGAAAATGCTTCAGAGATAGGGTCTTGCGGGCAAAGTCTCAAACATTTCCCAAGCCCTGATCAGTCCGCCCTAATTTATGATGCACCCAAACCCCCCACACCCTGAAGCCTCAACCGTAACCCTAACCTTACTGGTTTTTAGTAGGGAATAGCGGAATAGTACCTCTGTATAATCCCTACATAGTATATTCTCATACTACGTACTAAAGAATCAGTAAGTAACCCGAACCATGTAGACGCGCAGGTCGAGCTTCTGAAGCTGAATGAGAAGATCGCCATCCTCCACGGGCGTTCGGAGTCTTGGCGGTGCTTGGGATTTAGGGTTCTCAGCTTAGGGTGTAGGATTCTGGGTTTTAGGGTTAAGGTTTAGGGTTTAGGTTTCAGGGTTTGGGGTTTGGGGCTCCTCCTTCCGAGGCTTGCCAGCTTTCCTTACTTGAACGGATTTGGCTTTCTAAGAATGTCATATCCCCATGTATAGTCATGCCGGTAACCATGAACGGGGAAGCATTGCCACCTGCACCTCATCGCTGCTTGGGAGATGGGTTGATGGCGGCTGAAGGAGGCAATAACCTCCTACCATTTCTGGTATGATGGTAGCGTGATTTACTATGGGAGGTGATCAAGAAGGTAAACCCTCAACCGAAAACAACCCTCAAGCTCCTCGTGCTGGTTGTTGTAGTCGGGGTAGGCGGCCAAGCTTGAGGAAGAGGAACAGGAGAGTGGGGCGTGAACAAGAAGTCAACGGACATTGTTCATGGGAATGCTGTTAGCATGCTCGGTTCTGTTGTACCATTAAGAAAGGCCTTCAAATGCACGTCTAACATTAGTGAAAGTTTGCCTCAGAGAAGACCAAGCATTCGCAGCAATCTCAGGAGGACGAGTGCGTTGGCGTTCGGAAGAGGTGGGTCTGGCAGTAGGCCTCTTTGAATGTCCCTCCAGAGGGTAGAGAACGTGTGGGAACAGGTAAGGCCTATGGTCTAGGGTGCACTTGGGCTTTCAGAAACCTATCTAATCGGCAATGCTACTCCCTTGTTTCTGGGAAATCTCTGAACCTTACAGCGAATTGCACCCAATCAGAACGCTGCTCTGGTTGAGGCCCTTAAAGCAGCTGATCAACCTTCCAGTCCATCTTTGGGTCCACGCGTACGGATGATGTCGTCATTCGATGTGTCAAAAGAGCCCCTCAGTTTGGACGAACGCCCATGTGGGCCTAGGTGGTTTAAAGTGCGAGGGTCTTTGGGCTGGAGCTGAAACTGGATGTAATGTCACAGTTTAGAGGTACATCGAATCCAAACCCCAAGCCAGCAACCTGACCAACCCCAACCAGGGGTATGAACACCACGGGACTCTGATGTTATAGTAAATCCCCGGGCCCTCAAATGCAGTGAGCCCGAAGACGTTCAATCAGCCCCAAACCCAGTAAATCCGAACCCCCCCCCGCACAACCCAGCAAGCCATTATACCCTCAACCCTTAACCCAGTAAGCCACAAAAAGTCCCAAAAAGCACCCTGAACACCTTAGGCTTGACCCAGAGATGACCCTTCCCATTATGGGCTATTAGACCCTAAATTTCCCTATTAGGTCCCTATTAAGGGTAGATTAAGGTACCCTTACCCTCGCCCACCAAAACCTGCTTTA